TTCTTTTTTTTGCATGAGTGTCACTGACTTAGGGCTGCAGACTGGACAGCATAACCAGTCTTATGGCTCCCTCCTGTGACGACACTGAAGCAAGACAGATGACCTCCTCAAGATCACACAGCAAGGGACTGAGGAAAGAGAATTATTGACTCTGTGTTTCTGTATTTTAATCCACATTTACGACCCCAAAGCTTTTATGGCTGGAGAAATTATCTTTTCTAGCATTAAAAGTTGGAGTTTTGACTGCATCTTCAGTAGCATTTTCATGAGTTTTCAATAGCTGAAAAAGGAATTTTTCTGTCATTCAACTTTGACATAAATGACAGAGCTAGAATTTTATAAGACACAGAAAAAGTAAAAAAAAAGCAAGCAGAGTGCTTATGTGTAGAAAGGTCACATTTTGAAATTGATGGAATTAGGTCACGCAGCAAAGTAAAAGCTAATGTAATGTTACAAAGTTGATAAGTTTTTTTTCCAGACAGGGTTTCTTTTTGTAGTTCTGACTGCCCTGGAATCAATCTGTAGATCAGGCTGGCACTGAACTCAGAGATCTGCCTGCTTTTGTCTTCTGAGTACTGAGATTAAAGGCATGTACCACCATCTAGCTGAGTTTATTGGTTTTGTTACACACCAAAGCATATCTAGGAACCTGTGAAAAGCTTTGTCCTTCCACAGTGATGCTCAGATTTACTTATAGGGAGGGTGACAAAGGAAGCTGATGTCACCTTATGGTTTCTAAAGATCTATGATGAATATTTGGGTAGAGCTGAAGAAATCAACTTTCCTAATCTAGGTTCCACATTCTCTTCAAGACTCTTAAAAACAAAAACAAAAACAAAACAACAGCAATAGCACAAACCTCACAATTCTCCAGAGGTGGCCTTGTCCGACCTCAGTCCAAAGTTCCTTGTTTCAGCTTCACCTAACTTGGAACACTGGGATGAGTCACCAGACCCAGTTTTTCCAAGGACATGACGATACTACCCTTAGGAGGTGCTCAAACAGCATCTGATGTGGGCCTAAAGCAGGTCCCATCAGTCTGTAGGGATGTGTTATAGACTATTAGAAGAGGGGTATTTAGGCAGACAGGAGGAGACGCAGAAAGGAAAGACAGTAACTGCCTACGAAACTTGGTTCATTTTGAAGGTACAGAGTATGTAGGAACGTTCTGTTTACACATAAATGGATTGTTTGCAAAAAAAATGGTTAATTTTAGAAAAGTAGACATCTTAGTAGTAATGACTGCACTGTTTCTATCCCTGTTATTGGAGGACCCCCAGGAAACTGATTGGACTTCATGAGCCTGCTTGTCCTCAGAGTCTAGTGGACAGATTTGAGATGTATTACTCACAGACTGGGAAAATACTGACTGTGAACAGATCTCTTTCAAGTCACCTTCCCAGACACAAAGACAATGAACTGAAAAATAGCACAACCAACACAGTCCCTCTAATAAAATCTTTCCTGAACCTTGTTTCTGATGGCCTTCTTGTCCCTACCACCCCTATCCCATCAAACTTCCTAAGCAGCAGAAAATTAGTTGAATGTATCTGGGCTTTTAGGAGGGCTAGTAAAAGGGGTGGGAGAAGTTTTAGATTGTCTGTTGTGACCTCAACCTTGTCACACATAAGCTTACCAACTGTTCAAAGAGGTCATCTTTCTAGGAGCTGTGGCTGGATTGATCATAAGTGATTCTCACCTTCATAGCAACAAACAGCTAGGATGACTAGAAGAAGACACAGGATCAGCCTCATGGTGCTCAGTTTGTTCGCAGACTCAAATGAACTCTTACCTGAGCCCCTGGAGACCAGGGGTATTTATATGTGGTGAGCCTTACTGGTCCAGGCAGCTTTCAACACCTACATCACTGAGGGCAGATCCCCTCACCTCCCTTCATCCTGTTGGGCTGGAGTCCAGGAGAACAGCCTCATGGGAATGTCACTGTTCCTTCAGGTGACTTTTCACATACCCAGGAAGCAATTTGTGAAGTTTCAATTTACTTTTGAGCTTTTGATTATTACACTTGAGTTCCCTCCTTCTCAACAGGAACAAGTGGCTTCTGAGAATTGGATGACACTCCTAGGACACAAAACCTCCAAATACCAGCCCTGGAAATGAGAGCTTTGCATTTAGACCTTGCCAACATTTCATACAAACCCTAGCATTTAACTACATCAAAATATGAAGAAGACCTGAAAGAAATAACTTCAATGTACTGGAAACAAAAAACAAAATAGACTTCAAATTCATTAAGGAAGGAAACACTGAATAAAAGAAAGTAAAAAATTACAGAGCAGAAAGCATAGAAAACCAATGAAACAAAGACACAGGTCTTGGAAACTATGAACAAACCCAAGAAAGGCACATCTAGACTAGTGTAGAAAATGAAAAACTATGAATGAAAATATGAAATGGAAAGAGAGAAATCACCAATTATACCACAGAAAGGAAACAAAAGATTTGCAGAGGTCCTTATAATCAACTTCATCCCAACCAATGTGACAGAATACAGGAGCACTTTCTGAACCTATTTATTCTATCAAGATGGAATCATGAAGAATTTTTACAAAATATTTATTTATTTATTTATTTATTTAGTATACAATATTCTGTCTGTGTGTATATCTGCAGGCCAGAAGAGGGCACCAGACCCCATTACAGATGGTTGTGAGCCACCATGTGGTTGCTGGGAATTGAACTCAGGACCTTTGGAAGAGCAGGCAATGCTCTTAACCTCTGAGCCATCTCTCCAGCCCCATGAAGAATTTTTAAAAACCTGAATAGACAAAAATTTGTGCTTGGAGTACATATGTAACAAAAATTCACAAACCAAGAATAATAAGACCAGAACAAAATAGCTTTACTACTGAATTCTATCAAACATGCAGAGACCTAAGATTATTTATTGCTATTTTCTCCCAAAACCACACTGTAGGGAATTGTTCCTAAAACATTCTATGAGGTTAGCATTTTTCTGATTCAAAATCACACAAAGGTGTGTGCACGTGCACACACACACACACACACACACACACACAGGAAACGCACAAAACTCTAGTATTCTCAATGAAAATTTTGTACAAATACTCATCAAAATTCCAGCAAACAAAATCCAGCAGCACAATGGAAAGGTTATCTGCTGTTGTCAACCGTGTTGCAAGGATGACTCAGCATGTGCAGATCAATGCACATTTGCTGTGTCAGCATAATCCGAAGAAAATCCCTTCATCCTCTTACTAGCTGAAGTTTACATCATGTAAACTCAGCAAGAACCTATTTATGGGCTGGTAAGATAGCTCAGTGAATAAAGATGCTTGCCACCAAGCCTTCTGACCTGAGTTAATCCCGGTAGTCCCCATGGTGAAAGGAGAGAACTGCCTCCCACTGATTGCCCTCTGACCTTCATGTGCTTGCCCAGATACATGCAAGCCCACACATACACATACACAAACATTTAAGTAATATAATAATATTTTTTCTGTTTTTTTAATATAGGATTTCTCTGTATAAAAGTTCTGGCTTCCAGGAGCTCACATTGTAGACTAGGCTGGACTTGAACTCACAGAGATCTGCCTGCTCCTGCCTCCTGAGTGCTGGGATTTAAGGTGTGTTTCACCACTGCCTGACAATAATAATTTTTTTAAATTAACTGTAAAAACATGGACAGAATTATGCATTCAAAATGTGTCTCAATATAAAAAGTGCATATAATAAACCAAGGACATTGTGTAACAAAGTGTGTCCACTTTCACTGCTGGTTCAAAATGTGGGAGTCTTACCCATAGCAACCATACCCAGAAATGTCATAGGCAGCAATATGGAAAGAGGACAGAATGCCATCAGTGTCTGAAGATGCCATGATCTTATATGTACACAAATAATTCACCAAAAACCAGTTGCAATTTATAAGTCAACTGAGCACGGCTCTCAGTTGCAAACCAGCTCATAAAGCAGCAGTGTCAGTAAACGCTAACAGTAAGTTATCCCAACCATAGGTCGTACGTATATGTGTGCTGCAGTGTGCAGGTGCAGGTCAGACGACAACTGTGTCAGTTCTTTCCTTCTAAGGTCTGTGCCTCGGGTATTGAGCTCACGTGGTCAGACTCGGCCACAAATACCTTTATGCACCGAGTCATTCCGCTGGTCCCACTTATTTATCTTAAATGAAATTAAATTATTAACTGCAAGGACCAACAGTCTTGGAGATATGATGACACAAGAGTGTTGCCTGCCATCTCTGCCAGGTTTATTTATTTATTGGGTGCTGGGACAACCATTTTATCTCTGAACTATATTCTAGTCCTCTGTCTATCTTCTAGGGAGCTTTGGGATGCTTTTATCATGAAATTGTACAAGGCACTAAAAAGAGTTCCCTTGACATGTCTCCTACTGTTAAGAGTTGTATGACATTTCCTGTGGCCAACTCTACCCTTGGGTCAGTATCTGAGGTCTTCCAGGAGTCTGGGAGCAGGACAGCCATGGCTATTACCCCACACCTTATATCTTTCCAAAGACTCTGGCTCCCTTTGGGCAGAATCTGGGACTGAATCATCTTTGCAATGTGGTTTTAGAGCAGCTGAGACATAAACCTGCCCCACACATGTGAAGGAAGTTGGACACCTGCAGTTTCTGACCTCTATTTGGAAGCCTGAGACAAGTCACTTCTGCAGAGAGAAAAACTCAGAGCAGAAGCACAAGTGCCCTGGTCCTTGTGTCTTCTCTGGTTGTCTATTAAACAGCTTCACAAAGAAGCTTTTTCTTTACCCAATGACCACTGTTCACTCTCCAGAGAATGGCCTTCACCAAGTACCCAAGTAAAAATGAAGTCACAGTCTCTTCAGTGTGGAGTGGGATTATTTTTGGAAATGGAAATCTTTTAAGTGTCCTTCAGCGCAGTAGGTGCCAGGGCAGGGACATAAGTCTGGAACACTGAGTTGAACCTCTCTACATCCTGACCAATGATGCAGTGTGCCATTTACTTTTCAGGGCCTTTACTTTACTGGAGACTGAAGATTCGGCCTCGGGCAACCAGGAAGGAGAGCTCACATGCACTCTCTGGAGATGTCAGCTTTGTTCTTGGCAGCTTGTTCTGCAGACTGATGGAAAGAACAACATCGTTAGTAATCACACAGCAAAGCACACTCACAGATAATCAGAACATGCCCTCCTTCCTGACACTCCTGCTTATTTCTGCTGTTTTAATTCTTTAGTATATCAGCCAACTATTCTTTTCTTGTTCCTTGTTCCTTGAACTTTTTCCCTTGTCCTTAACTGATCTATATCTTTTCAGACACAAGATTTTGTCTTGTCAGTCTGTTAATCTCTTGTGTCCATGTTCCATTCCTTACTTGACCTTGGCGAGTAGCAACTGTCCTTGGGCCCCTGAACTTCTCGCAGTGATCACCTCATTGTTGAAATCATTGTGTTGGATATATTTTAAAGGCAAAATCATGTCACTATTTTATTTTCACTGAAAGAAGTGTGCTGTGAGCTAAAAATAGGCAAGGCTTTTTACACTTTCATATAAACCTGAAGCACAAAATATAACAAACTTCTGCATTTTATTTCTTTTCAAAAAAGCTTCCATTAAAATTGTTCTTTGTTGTAGACACACATAGATGTGTATAATGCATTCTGCCTGGCCTCCCTACACTATCTCGTCTCCTCACTTCTGTCCTCCATCTTTCCTGCAAGTTCCTCTCCTGTATTCATGTCTTATTGTTTTGTTTTGTAAACCACATAGTTGAACCAGTACTGTCTATGTGAGTAGGGTTTGGAGTGACAGCAGTCCTCTGGGAAAATCGTTTCCTAGGCCTGTGTCCCATAGTATATTGCTTTGTTTTTTCCATCCAGCAATCTGAGTTTTTTCCCTTTCATTTTTATTTTTATTTTTTAAAAAACTACCTTTTCTCATTTTACATCCCATTCCCAGTTCCCACTCATTTCTCCTCATCCTTGTCCCTCCACCTTCTCCCAAACCCACCCCTCATCCATTCCTCAGAGAGGGTAAGCCTTTCCATGGGGAGTCAACAAAGTCTAGTATACTGCTTTGAGGACGGACCAAGGTTCTCCCTTCTGTATCTAGGCTGAGCAAGGTATCCCTCTAAAGAGAATGGGTTCCAAAACCTGTACAAGCAGTAGGGATAAATTCTGGTCCCTCAGTCTGCCTCAGCCATACAAGGCCTAGTTTGGTCCTATAATGGTCCCTTCCCTGCCATGCCAGAGTTGGTGGACTCCCATTAGCTCAGGTAGGTTCTTTAAGTGGGTATCCCCATCATGGTCTTGACCTCATTACTTGTATTCTCACTCCTCCCACTTTTCAACTAGATTTTGGGAGCTCAGCCCAGTGCTCCTCTGTGGACCTCTGCCTCTGCTTCCATCAGTTGCTGGATGAACATTCTATCTTAAATATTCTATGGTGACATAGTCATCAGTCTGACTACAGGGCAAGGCCAGTTTGGGCACTTTTGCTGTCTCCACTATTGCTTAGGGTCTTAGCTGGTGTCATTATTGTGGATTCCTGGGACTTTCTCTAGTGCCAGGTTTCTTGCTATCTCCACAATTACTCCCTCAATCAAGATATCTCTTTCCTTGCTCTCCATCTCTGTCCTTCTCCAATCTCAACCATTCTGTTCCCTCAAGTTCTCCTTCCCCTTCTCCTTCTTTCCTCTTCTTCCCCCTCCACTCTCCCTTCTTCCCCCAGCCCATGCTCCCAGTTTTCTCAGGAGATCTTGTCTATTACCCCTTCCATGGGGAGGTGGAATCTATATATATTTCTCTTGGGGCTCTCCTTGTTGCTTAGCTTCTCTGGGGTTGTGGACTGTAAGTTTGTTATCCTTTGCTTTACAGCTAGTATTCACTTATGAGTGAGTACATACTGTGCTCATTTCTCTGGGAAACCTCCATCCTGATTTCCAGAGTGGTTGTACAAGTTTGCATTACCACCAGCAATAGATGAATATTCCCTTTACTCTGCAACCTCTCCAGCATACGCTATTATTGGTATTTTTATCTTAGCCATCTTGACAGGTGTAAGGTGGTATCTCAGCAGAGACCTACACTGGAGCACTGGACTGAGCTCCCAAGGTCCCAATGAGGAGCAGAAGGAGGGAGAACATGAGCAAGGAAGTCAGGACCACGAGGGGTGCACCCACCCACTGAGACGGTGGGGCTGATCTATTGGGAGCTCACCAAGGCCAGCTGGACTATGACTGAAAAAGCATGGGATAAAACTGGACTCTCTGAACATGGCGAACAATGAGGGATGATGAGAAGCCAAGGACAATGACACGGGGTTTTGATCCTACTTCATGTTCTGGCTTTGTAGGAGCCTAGCCAGTTTGGATGTTCACCTTCCTAGACATGGACGGAGGGGGGAGGACCTTGGACTTTCCACAGGGCAGGGAACCCTGACTGCTCTTTGGACTGGAGAGGGAGGGGGAGAAGGGTGGGAGGAGGGGGAAGGAAATGGGAGGCTGGGAGGAGGGGGAAACTTTTTTTCCTTTTCTCAATAAAAAAAAAGATAGTATCTCAGAGTTATTTTGATTTGCATTTTCCTGATGGCTAAGAATGTTGAGCAATCCTTTAAGTGTCTTTCAGCAATTTTGTAGTAGGAGAGAGGTCACTTGTGAGCTGCTTGTTAGTTCCCAGATGCTGGGCTAGCTTAGCCCTGAAATAATCACACAGAAACTGTATTCATTAAAACTCTGCTTGGCCCATTAGCTCTATCTTCTTATTGGCTAAACTCATACATATTAATTTAACCCATTTCTATTAATCTGTATACCACCACGAGGTTGTGGCCTACCAGCAAAGTTTTAGCACGTCTATCTCTGGAGGCAGACACACGGCATCTCTCTCTGACTCTGCCTCCTTTCTCCCAGCATTCAGCCTAGCCTTTCTTGTCTACCTAAGTTCTGCCTTGCTATAGGTCCAAATCAGTTTTTTATTCATTAATGGTAATCAAAGCACACAGAGGGGACTCCCACATCACCTCCCCTTTTCTGTTTAAATAAATAGAAAGGTTTTAACTTTAACTTAGTAAAATTACATATAACCAAACAGGTATCAAGTAAGAATTATATTACAATATTTATATCTACTTTATCTTTTATCATAACTAAAGAAAACTATAACTATTACTATAAATTCTTTAACTTCATCAAAGACTCCAGAAGGATATATTACCTAAGTAAACAGCAAGTGCATTGTAAGCAACTTCCAAAACTCTAAAAATGACAGAGACATCTTGCTGCATGGACAGTCAACCAAAGTTTTTCTGCACTGTTGGGGCATCCATCTTCAGCCTATAGGCCCATAGTATCCATCAGACTTTTCCATGAAACAAGACATTTCAAAGACAGTTCCATCTATACTGGAAGTTTATCAGTCACTTTCTTCTGTGTTCTACAGAATGTCTCACAGACTCTTTCATGAAGTAGGAATTTCTAAGGATCATTTCATCTTTAGGCAAGTTCAGCATTCATTTCTCTGTGGGTTCTGCATGTCCAGTTAAGCAGTCCAGGCAAGAGCAGTTTCTTACCCAAATGGCTAGCAAGCTCCATAAAGAGCCTCTTCGATACCCATCTTTCTCTTGAAGGTACTTGTGCTTCCAGGAGCAGGTGTGTCTCACTGTCATGAAAAGTCCTATTGAAAAGATAGGTATTAAAGAATACCCATCTAACTGAAATATATCTCTATATATCTAAAAAAAATCTAACTAACATGACTACAAACTTGATTATTATAGATGATTATCTATTAACTTATATTTCTTAATAATACATTACATTTTAAAATGAGCTATACAAACACAATACCTTAATCAAGATCAGAAATAAATAAAATTGACCTTAAATTTGTACCAATAAACCAATGCAAATTATTCATGTCTATATCATATTCTCCTTTAAACATAAAGAAACATTTACAAACAATATTTGGGAATATGGGTGTAGTTTTGTCCATACTGCTTCTTGTTGATTGGGGGCACTGTTAATCAGGACTTTCATGGTGTATCCTGTGTGCTAGGTTCATCTCAGTCAGCAGTTGGGCAAAGTAATTTTTTGAGGGTGTTCAAGGTGACCTTTCAGGAGCTCTTTGTCTATCACACCACACCAGACTGGAAGCAATCCATAGGTTCTCATCATCTGTGGAAACAAGAGAAGAACCTCTTTTCCAAAACAACATATCCTTAGACCCAAATTTAGAAGTCATGATACCTTTATAATATACATGCTGGTTTAGCTTAGCAGCCCATAGAATGAAATGTCTCTCTTTACTTAGCTCCATCACAGTTAAAAATTCAAAGAAAACACAATAATATACATAATTCAGACTTTCTGTGTATAGTCCATCTTTACATGGCTTATTATTTTTTTATTTTATTACTTTATCTCTTTAAAGACTTCACATTTTTTAAAAGCATTAACTTTATTTTATGACTCTCTATACTCTTTTTCTTTTCTCTTTCAAGCCTACATACATTGTCCATCACTACGACTCATCTGGATTTGTCTTTATTGCATATCTGTAATTCTTTACTGTCCAGGAGTGCTTTTTAAAATGCTAAGTGCCTCTTAAAAACTTAAGCTGCACCATTACTATGATATATATGGCACAGTCAAGCATGGTAGAGCTACTCATTGCCCTGAGAGCCATGCACACTGCCCCATTCTCAGGCACACAGACAATCCATGTCACCATTATGCAAGCTGTAGCAATCTGCTCATAAACCCCATCCAAATGCTCCATCTTCTGAAAGAGCCAGAGTTCATGCTAACAGCAGGGCCTACAGCTGGAAAGCTGCCATTTTGAAACAGTGCAGCTGCTATCACTGAATCAGTAAGACCTCTCTCAAAGTACCTGTGGCAGGCCACCAATAAACAGTAAGAAGCTGTGTTAAACTCTGTATTTTTGTGTCTAGAATTCCTTTTCAAGCTCTCTCAGGTTTTACATGGATTTAGTTCACCATGTTGGTACACCAATTGTAGGAAGAGGAGCTGTTTGTTCTGGCTGCCCAAAATCAAAATAATCACACAGAAATTGTATTAATTAAAACACTGCTTGGCCCATTAGCTGTAACTTCTTATTGGCTAACTCTTACATATTAATTTAACCCATTTCTATTAATCTATATATCACCACAAAGTCATGGCCTACCAGCAAAGTTCCAGCATATCTATCTCTGTTGGTGGCCTCATGGTGTCTTTCTTTAACTCCGCCTCTTATCTCCCAGCATTCAGCCTAGCTTTCCCTGCCTACCTAAGTTCTGCCTTGCTATGGGACCAAAGCAGTTTCTTTATTCATTAATGGTAATCACAGCACAAAAAGGGGACTCCCACATCACAGTCTGAGATTCTTCTGTTGAGAGATCTCTGTTTAAATCTGTATCCCCTTTTTAATTGGGTTATTTAGTATTTTAATATCTAGTTTCTCAAGTTCTTTATATAC